AAATTCGGTATATATGGCCGGACTCACAATGTGGTGCGTATTGTCTTCACGGTTCAATTTGATTGAGTTAATCATGGTCGTAGTTTTTGTTTATTTCGATCTCCCCGTCTATGGAGAACGAACGTGGCAAATGATCTCCGTGCTTGCTCGTCCGCTATATTTGCTATGGCGGAGCGGAAATCCAGCTTCAGGAAATATCGCGACGACTTGGAGAATATGATCAACCGAGCTATGGCCTTTGTAGATGAGACGTTGATCCATAGCCCATGTATATCAAGCCAACCAGCACCAGGCCCGGAAGAATCATCAGGGCCTCATTTCGCCAATCTTGAGAATTCCAAGGATCCCATGGCGAGCACACTCGATCTACAGAGTGCAGCTATTCTAGAGGCTCAGGAGCAAGAGGCTTCACTTAATACGGGAAATCCATTTGCAGGTGTGTCCTTGGAAGACTTTTGGCCCGGCGAGAGTCTTAATCTCCCTACATTGGATGTGTTTGGATTTGGTTGGGATAGCTTAGGTGCGGAGTAATGAACCATATAAATTTAATGAATAACATGAACAGCGTATAAATCAAGAACACGTTGAAGACTACCAATGACAGGGAGCAAGGTCACCCTCAATACCCAATTCCTCTCTGCGTGATTTGCTACTAGGATCAAAGTACGGAACCTCGCCCACCCCCACAGCCCGGTTACCACTTCGTGGGCCAAATCCTTCATGGTCGCCCGTCGCGGTATGAAAGACGCTGCGATTGTCCCAGATCGCTAGACCAGTCAGTTCGCAGCGTAGAATATAGGATGCATAGACACCTACCAATGTCATTAGGGCTGTTCCATTTGAAACGAACCTGGAGGTCATGTCCGTGAGTGATCATATCATGAAACCACTGCAGCATGTTGGCACTCTCTCTGCGAGTCAATCCGTCGATCTGCGTAGGAAAAGAGCCTGGATACTCAATCAGCATCCGCATACACAACACTGAGATTGTGTCTTACCGATAGGGAAAATCGATTTCCATCCTGTAATTGGGTTCGTCCTTACCACTGGATGAACAGCCGACAGATCCCCTCCAATATTGACGGGGGACCCGCGTTCCTTTTCATACAAATGGAACTTCCCTGTCTGTGCCAACCTCATAAAGCCAACACCTGCATGTGTGGCTGTCAATGTCTCCAGGAAAGCCCGGTATGGCTTACTGATGCGATCATAGATCTCATAACCAGACGCCCAAAGCGTGTCGCCGCCCGTTTTGGGCAACTGCACCAGTCGCAGACTCGAAAAGTCTGCTGGAGCCTTCTCGAACGAGATATCACTGTGCCAAACTGCCGCCATCTTGGTATAATCAGATCCTTTATAGAGAGTCTTACGGCCCTCAGAGTTGATGGTGCTGATCTGAGGGTCCGGGTCACCAAATTCGCGTGCATCATTGGTGACCGGGTGAATGTGCAGGCCGTGGGTGGTTGGACGGCCGGTCAACTCACCCATGCGCAGGATCAGGTCTTTCTGTAAATCGTTTGTAAGATTATCCTGGGCACGGAAGAAAACAACGCCTCGTTCGGCAACTGCTAGTGTCAATATACTTTTGAGTGATAGATTTCTTGAGAGGGAGTACCCACTCATGATGGCCAAGTCACGAATACGTTGGTCTGCATTGGGGGCATGTAGGATATCGTCAACAATATTGCAAGTTCCTTTGGCAAACTCGTTACCAATCACGGGAGTTACCATGATCGGGTCAAAGCTGTCAAGAGAGCCTGAGCTGTGCTGGCGCTCAGTTGGCTGCATGGTGGTCTTTTGGACGGTCATGATGCAAGTGTATGTTCACAGTGCTTGTTGCTGTTTGGATTGTTCCTTGTCATCGTACTGTCTTCCTTATTTATGTCCTGGAGATCAGCATATGACTCTCATCAGATGTCTATACTTCTATATTGATTACATCAAATGATGCTATCCGACAAGGCCTCCGAAGCATCGGCTTTCGGCGTTAGGCCCATCGGTATGAACTGTGGGGATAAAGTTTTCTATCGCCGAAATCCGACATGCATCTTTTCGGATATCGGCATGCTGTAGCCAATCCCAGGTTATGATCATGTATAGAACCATTGATATCTCCTTCCGTCATATATAAACAAAAAAGACGTCGTCAGTACCAGAGAGAGCAACACAAGTAAAGTAACAGTCTAGTTGACTCTGACGAATAAATTATGGAAGGGGAAACTCTACCCCTCGCTCAATATCTGTTCAAGCGTCTGCACCAATTGGGTGTGGACTCTATATTTGGAGTACCGGGTGACTACAACTTGACACTTCTGGATCATGTCGTGCCTTCGGGACTGAAATGGGTGGGAAACTGCAACGAGCTAAATGCGGGCTATGCTGCGGATGGGTACTCTCGGATCAAAGGTACCTGTTCCTCTTTCTCAGTTTCTTCCGGCGTCGACAGAGGCTGACTGCTTAGATATTGGAGCGGTGGTGACCACCTTTGGCGTTGGCGAGCTGTCTGCCATTAATGCCATTGCAGGAGCCTATGCAGAGAGGGCCCCAATCGTGCATATTGTTGGGACACCCATGCGCGCCTCGCAGGAGTCGCGCGCATTGATCCATCACACTTTCAATGATGGTGACTATCAGCGTTTTGACGCTATACAGGAACATGTCACTGTAGCGCAGGTCAGCTTGAACGATCATCGCACAGCACCGTCCGAGATTGACAGGATTTTGCTGCAATGTTTGCTGCACAGTCGACCTGTTCGCATCGCTATTCCTGTTGACATGGTGCCCGTTCTTGTCCCTATAGCGGGCTTGTCGTCGAAGATCCAGATCCCGCCGTCCGTGCGCCAGCCACAGGTGGAGGACGCAGCCCTTAATGCTGTCCTTAAAAGGATCTACAGCAGCAAGAAACCAATAATTCTAGTGGATGGAGAGACAAGAGCGTTCGGCATGCTCCACAGAGTTAATCAATTTGTTCGGACGATAGGCTGGCCAACATTTACATCTGGGTTTGGCAAGGGCTTAGTTGATGAAACAATACCCAACGTATATGGAGTATGTACGCTTCCATACAAAGCCTTTGTCGACTCTTGCGATCTAGTTCTGGTTTTCGGGCCACATTTCAGCAACACCAACACCTACAATTACTTGTTAAAGCCAGCGGACGACAAATCCGTCCTGTTTAGCCCCAACTCGATCCAGGTTAACAAAGATGTCTTTCGCGATCTCCCAGTCGGGTATTTTATTGAGCAGCTCATACAACAACTCGATACATCCAAAATACCGACGCATAAACATGACCTTCCCCACCCATCACTCAGGACACTCCCTGAAGTGTCTTCTACAGATCTAGTCACGCAGACTGGGGGCTTTTGGAAGCGCCTCTCGCCCTTTCTCCGTAGTGGAGACATCGTCCTCGGTGAGACTGGAACACCAGGCTACGGCGTCAATGACTTCATACTACCCCCGCATTCCCGTCTGTTCAAGCCAGCCACCTGGCTATCTATTGGGTACATGCTTCCAGCCGCACTAGGAGCAAGCCACGCACAGCGAGATCTAGTTGCCTCCGGCGAGTACCACGATATATCTAACCCACGCACAATCCTATTTATCGGTGACGGCAGTTTCCAAATGACTGTTCAAGAGCTTAGTACTATCATCCACCAACGGCTCAATGTCATTATCTTTCTGATTAACAATGACGGATACACCATTGAACGGTGTATTCACGGCCGCAACCAGGCATATAATGATATTGCTCCATGGCGGTACCTCAAAGCCCCAGAGTTGTTCGGCGCGGACCAGGAGGGCGAGTATAAAGCACGGACATGGACAATTAAGACCTGGGCAGATATGGATTCTGTGTTGAGAGATCCACAGCTGGCTAACGGCAAGGGTTTACGGATGGTAGAAGTTGTCATGGAAAGGCTTGACGCGCCGGATGTATTGATGGGCGTGTTAAATAATCAGATTCTGAGGGAAAATGCGCAGAGTAGGCTTTGATTATTAGGCTAAATATGATCATAGACGAGTTATTGCACTTCTGTTTCTTGCGTTGACTTGTGCCATTTTTATCGGCGGTGGGATATTCATTATATTGGGTGGCTCTCTTCATTTTAATGCTAAGAATGTAGAGAAAGAGTGCATAGTTTAGACCCACACCTTTAATGCAGCGAAGGAGATATAATGTTTGTTAGCGTTAGAACTGCCATATTTCATAAATCGGCGTGTATCCACAGGAAAGTGCTGCTGAAAGTGCAATCCAAGATATTCGACGATGAGGCCGAAACCCAGCGTTAATTTATTACATTTGTAAGCTTAGAATGGCAACGTCTTCTGCAATTATCTCTTCTGCCGTTTAATTGATGGCTTGTTTATGTATTCATCGTTCGATAGGCTGAAATCGTTTACCTAGAATGACCGGGTGGTATACTTTCCTGAGACACGACAACTATAGTGGCTTACTTCACTGATGTACAATGGAAGATAAATAGCCCTATGCTTGAACCTATGAGTTTAAAGTTTAAAAAACCGTTGAGAAGTCTCCATACCGGAGCCAGCTGCCACGACCTCATCGGTAAAGTGAGGCTGATTATGAATAGATTGAAGAGACAAGACAAGATTAATGAAATAGATTCTAAATGTCCGTCATAACACCAAAGCCCAATGAGGCTATGTAGAGACGTCCGAACTCATTCCGTCTGAAATGTGGCTTATCCTCAACTCCCTCAACTCACTATGGGTAGGTCTTTTCTCTGCCAAGATCGCCTAATCTGCCTAGCCTAAACCCTCATTTCCTTCAGAAAACCATCCGCCAATGGATAATGTGGTCTTGTAGAGCCTGACCCAAGCAATACGAGGTTGGGCACTTGGCAGTCTATACATACCTCTGTTTATAAATTAGCGATCTACGCTTCGACCCATCTCTGTCGCGATGAACCTTCTTCCTCTTTTCGCTCCGTAATGTCTAGCCTGCCCGGCAGTATATACCGCATAGCTCCGTCGTAATGGTGTCGCAACCTTTTCTCACCAATCTCCTGCTCCTCTTCTCTATCTTCAGCAGCGGGTCCCTAGCCAGACGAGGCGGTGGAGGCGATACTGACAGCGACAGTGACGGTGGCGGTGACAGCAGTGGTGGAAGCGGAGGCAGTTCAGGTTCATCAGGATGCGGAACCACAAACAACCTTCTCAGTACGACGTACGTTGTGCCTAACAATGCCTGGAACTGGACATCCCAAGGCAGTAGATTCGCGGACGCCAGCCCAACAGTATATGACGGGACTTACTTCCAGGGAGAAGGATATCTTTCCTACAACATCACCGGTGGATCGCGATGTCGTGGCGCAAACGGGGAGCTTCGAATTCTAGGATACGCCTGGGTTGGACCACAACCGCCTTATCCTACGGGGCCCCTAAACTCCTTCATCGTTGGGTTCAAGGCTTGGGAATCAGACCAGCCAGTCAGCGAGATTCACACCGCCTATAAACCTATTAAATGGACAGAGACTAGTGTTTGCCCTATGGAACCGGATCTCGTTCGCATCGCCACGACTAGAGGTTGGATGGACTTGACAGCTCATACGTTTGGTGCCTCAGATGTGATGATCATGAATGTCTCTACGGATTCAACTCAATCGGCTGCCGTTCGTTTCAATGCTACTACAGCTTCTGACCCGAAACCAGAGATCGATGGAGGTGAGGGCTTGATTCGTCTCCCTGGACGTACTTGTTCGTCATACGGGCTACACATGGGTTGGCCCTCTACGACGATCTTGAATGGATCCGTGACAAACACTACCCTGGATCTCAGATTTACTGGTTCGGGTAACACCTCCTCCGATTATAAAAACTATAGAGGTACCGAGGATGAGTTGCATATCGAATTTAGTGTGACCTTTTCGGGGCAAATTGATAGTATCAATTCTACCAAGGTGTTGAATATTCAGTCGGGCAACCAGACTCTTGCATGGGTGCCGAATGACGGTGTCCACGTTCTGCCGGGTCGTTGGTGGTATGTGTTGATGTGGGTTGTTGGGATATATATAATGAGTTGGAATGATTACTACTAGTAGATATGAGGTACTATTGGGCTTATTGTACTCATAAATGTTCCTCTTTGAAGATTAATTGGAAGTATCGAAGTAATAAATTGGTTTGTACCTGCTGGCAAGACATGAACTTGAGCACGGTGGTCCTCAACTCCACCATTGTGAGAATATAGAGTCTGCGTCTCACAGACTGGACATGGTCTCCTATGTATTGAAAGCTTAATGTTTAGTTTTGTAATAATAGCAAGACCGCCACCAACGTCAGGGCCATGACAATGACATCATTTGAAATCCAAGATAAGATAAGAAGGATCAAACGCGCCCCGAGTCCATGCATCAACCAGAGCCACATTCAAACAAACAAACAACATTCATATTAATACTCAAACTCATAACCTCTCATTTACTTGTGCCTTAAACACCACACACAAGCCAAAGAAGAAAAGTTCAAATCAAGAACCACCTGCATCATGCCGAACAACACGTCCTCCTCCTCCCAAGACAGCGGCGTCACTGGTGCCGCCAAATTCGTAACCTCGACTCTCGGTAACACGGTCGGAGGCGTCTCTCGCACTGTCGGTGGGGTCACAGGTGCCGCTACTCGAGGACTCGGCGATACTATCACGAGCGCCACAGGAAGTGCCGGGAAGCCGTTGGGTGATGGACTGGGAAATCTTGGAACGGGAGTGGAAGACGGAGCAAATAGGGTTGCGAAAGGGGTGGAGAATGCTGGACAGTGGAAAAGCTAGATAGTTTGAAGCTCTGCTTGGCAGCTTGGGTCGGACATAGTACGATGTGGATGGGTAACTGGTCAGCTTTTGTTTTTTGTAATTTGCGATTTGATATCAAATTGACGTTGGATGGGAAGAGAGCGCATGAGATATCGCCGGTTGATCTTATTGATTCTAATTATTATTATTATTATTATTTTTTTTTTTTTGGGTTTTCTATATCTGTTGTTTGATAGTTCCCTGCAGCTATTGTGTACCTTTGTACCTTTGTATAATTGAAGATTGAGGATTCATACCATTCCTTCAGAGGTTCATATTGGATTGCCTTTAAAATTCTTTTCCAAGTAGTGACACATCCCAGTACCCTCATCATCAACGTCACGAGTACATACAGCATGCAGATGTAGATCAAACACACTCAACCCCCAAGCTCACAATCGTGGTATCCGCCTCGAAGCACTGCTTCTCACTATCGACGGCCACGGTCTGAAACAATCCAGACCCGCAATTCGCCCCGGTGTAGACATTCAACACAGGAGTTTTAGAATCATCGCAAGCCCCAGAAAATACATACGCGGTGAAAGACTTGATCGGAATATCTTCCACATTTGCGCAATAGGATGCCGCGATATTGGTAGCTGTGATGCTGGGACCGGTGCAGTTCTCATAAACATAGCCTGCATAGGAGACAAGCGGAGTAGCCATTGCTCCCATAGAGAGGGTTGGGAGGAAGGCCAAGGACTGTTGACGATCTGTTAAGCGCAAGCACGGGAGGGAGGATCATGATGTGTGGGGTTTACCTTGAACAGGATCGACTTCATTTTGGGTATAAAAGTACACTGTTCTAACAGGATGAGCAGATTTGTTTCGGCTATGTTGAAGGTAAATGAACCGCTTTTTATACCTAGGACAATTTGCGTCGTGTGGGGCATCTATAATAGTAGATTTTCTGAAGAACAACGGGGTTAGCCGAAATGGAGCTAAAATCTCACTGCAGTGAGCTGAAGAATCATTCGTACGCAGTGCCATCTCGTTTCTTTCCAGTCCCTTTAGATTTACTAATTCCCAACTCACGAATGCATTCATATACCCTGTATGCGTCCCTTAACTTGGGTACAGGGGATGAATCAATCATGTCCTAGCCGGTTTTGTATGAATTTTATTAAGGGTATACAGACACTCGCCATTGACGAATGACGCCTATACGAGCGTTACATTGTCGAGAAAAAGCCAAGGCTGACACCTTGCATTTCTACCTCAAGATTAGTCTGAAAATTTCCACTTTGGGGAAATGCTCTAATTGTAAACCATTCATAATCCTTTTATAATCATAAGCCATCGAAGCTGCCAGAATTAAACATGCCACATTAGTACTAGGGTCGCTGTCCGGGCTTATTTAGCGTTGTTTTCTGGCATGTCTTACCTCGTAAGTACCGTACGGGCCCACTATTGTCGGCTGAAGATAGTGGAGTGAAGAATGTCTAGCTGAAGTATCATTTCACATATATCGGCAAAGATGGAGCAGGGGCAGGCATATTCATAATTAGTGCCTGGGGTGTACTGCTAGACTGCAATAGTTGTCTGTCTGAACTACCTACTCAGTAGCGCTTCTATAAGCCATGGTAATGCCTGAGATACCTGCTAGTTAAACAGTTCTTGTTCACGTAATCACATCGCTTTACACTTCTAAATGTAGCCAGAGTGCTTGACTAACCCAGCTGATTTGGCCGCTATGTAGATATAGGTCTATTCAAAGCAAATCGATATCCATCGAACTACGAACCTAGCATATATTTGATCACGATATAGAAAGTTCCTGCACGGGAGTCAGAGCACTACTCTCAGGAAACATGGTGCTCCGAGTGTAGAAAATGAAGCATAACTCAGTACCTTCTCCATTTTGTCTGTAAGTTTTGTGGGAGAACTTCCTTTCTTTTGCAACCCAAGTCCACTCTAGCCCCATGAAATTAATAGAAAGAGACATTAAAGCTACAACGGTATTAACACTTCAGGTGCCTTTGATAGGAAATGGATCAGTTGGTCAATGACTCTTGGGAAGGACGTTCCAAAAAAGCAACAATGTCAAATAACCTGTAGATTTCTGCTTTGGTATTCATGTAAATGCTCTCGCTCCGGGAAGTAAGTGTTTCTTGTAATGTTTGAGGTAGGACGTTGACCAGGAATTTTTTACAGTCTATCCTTCGCATCTGGCTTCCGTGCTGACTCAACACCGTAAACCGGAAGAGGAGACTTTCGACGACCAGAGGTTTATCCCCGCTAGGCGATTTGGTGGGGATGAGGAAATGGCGGGTGCGATTTTGTACCTTGCTAGCCGGGCTGGTAGTTTTACGAATGGTTCTGTTCATGTCATTGATGGTGGTCGACTGTCGGTCATGACTGGCACGTATTAGGGTCAAACATCCAGGAGAGCTGAGTGAAGGGTATTACCCCATATGCGGGCGTAACAGCATAGTATAGAGACTATCACCATCTTCTCCATCCAAAACAACACTTTATGGCTTAAAATAGTTGTATACTACTTGGAATCTCCGTTGCCAGTACGTCTCTAGATAAAAGTAGAAAAGCGTCATGACATCAAAACTAATCCAAGAAAAAAGTTGGGCCTACTGCAAGCTATTTGAAACAAAATTATTATTTACATATCCACACCAAGCACTAATTACTATATAAGATCGGTTATAGTAGACACGGCCAAAACTATCCTAATATCCTCTCCTTCCTACTTTAAGTATCGAAGATATTTAGTTGATATAGCTACTATCAACCCACTGTGTCCAATCCGAGCCCAAAATGGTCGAGATAGCAACCGGCTCGCTCAGTTTCTCGGAGAAACTAGCACGTGTACCCTTTGCTCCAGTACCGGTGTTACCATACTCAGCGAAGGTAACATTCTCAGTGTTAGCTTGGGTAGTCGACCATTCAGACCAGCCAGCAGAGTTAATCACATCAGTCATGGAAGTCTTCTGGAAGAGAACGCGGGCGTACTGAGACCAGGGACGACCTGTGATTTAGGTTGTTAATAAAACCTGACGCGTGGGAGTACCGTTCCGATAAGGCTACAACGTACCGAGGTAGTAGGTGCCCGAGGGGACATCATTGCCATCAGCGGCAGCGACGGAGGACTTGTGAACCACGTAGTAGGACGAGTCAGTTTCGGAGGAGCGGCCGTTGGCGGTTATATAGCCGGAGCTGGGGCCCTTCAGGACACGGATGTCGCAATCATGGAACCAGGCACGGGCGTGCTGGCCAAAGATAAAATCACTGGATTAACAAATGAGTGTAAGTTATTTTCTTTGCGATCGGGCGAAAGAATACAGGGAGACATACACAGCACCCTCGATGAGGGTGTGGGCGTAGACCTGATTTCCGCTCTGGGCGAGAAGGGTATCTATGTAATGGGAGGTCAGTGCTCCAGCGCTCTTTGTTTCTATATTTGTTCTGCTGCTTACCTTGGTATCCGGTGAACTGGCACCCGTAGTATCCCTGACCATTGCCGTAGGCGCTCACGGCCAAGGCTTGGTGGCAGACTTGGCCGCAAGAGTTAATAATGTTGAGGTTGTAGATGGACGAGTTGGGGGAGTGGTTGCGAACGGTTGCTATCTTTACTGTAAGTACAATGGGAAAAAAACATAGGCTAGAGTGCAGCATGGGGTGCTCACCGGTCTCGTCATCATTAGCGACGTCAGCCAACTTAATGTTATGGGTGATGTTGACAAGGTTGCCCGTGTAGGTGGTGTCGCTAGAAATGGATTGTTAGTTGACAAGGTTCTTCGCTGCTTAGTATAGACTCTCCTGAACATACTCCTCTGTCTGACCGTAGATGATCAGCTTTCCAGCCAACGACGGGATGTACACCTGTTCGTCGTAGGTACCCTCCTCGATGAAGATGGTCTGCGTCGCAGTCTCGGTGGTGCTCAGGGCATTCACGGCCGCGCCAAGCTTTCCAATGACAGTTCGTCAGAGCATATCTAAAGGTTTTTGATCTGCGATTCCAACATGCTTACCGTGTCATAATCACCCCCAGACTTGGCAACGACGATCGCACCAGCAGGAGCTGTCATGCGGCTCGCGGCCAGGGCCGTCGCAGCAAAGAGACCGGACATCAAAAGTGATTTCACCATGGTTGTTACGTGGAAAGGATCGGCGAATCTAAGTTTGCTATTGATGGGGGGACTAGAGAGCGCGATGATACTTCATCTTTATAGGTGAGCATGTCTCACAGATGATCCATCATGGTCTATTGATTGATATAGATCAGGACCTCCTAGT